AGTCATCAGGCAGTGAATTCATAACCATTTCATGTAGGAACTTTCTGTGAGGGAGCTTTTAGAGGTGGACGTCTGGTTCCTATCACCACCACTGTGAACAGTTCTGACTCGGCAAGTTTATCTAGAACAGAGCGTTTCACACCAAACCACTCTGAACCACTCTGAACTGTTTAATTATGAGAAATTTTGAAAAGTTGGTGGGGTTTTCTTGGAAGGGAACATTTATTTTCCTACAGTTTGAATAAAGGAGGCCCTCCAGCTCACCTAACAGAGAGTGAATATGATCAGTGATAGATCACTGATTAATGGTGGATAGTTATTAAGTTCCCAGCGGCTGCAGGGAGAACGTCAGTGGAGCGTAGAAGGAACACGATGCCCATCAACCAGGAGAACCTGAACCAAATCTCTTTCACACAGTGTAGTTTCTGCCATAGAAACAAAATCAATGCTGAGTGAAAAGAGTACTTAAAGGGGAACTCCACTGATTTTCTAAATTTTCTCCATAATTAACTGGTTAAGATGTAAACAGAGAGGTTCAGAGCGGTTCAGAGTGGTTCAGAGTGGTTTGGTGTGAAACGCTCCGTTCTAGAGAAACGTACCGAGTCAGAACTGTTCACAGTGGTGATGATAGGAACCAGACGTCCACCTCTAAAAGCTCCCTCACAGAAAGTTCCTACAGTAAATGGTTATGAATTCACTGCCCCCCCCAGTGTTATCATAGATCGAAACATTGGATATTTTACTGATATACAGGCTGCTGAACTGGAAACTGTCCCTAGTATTAATTTCAGACATCTGGTCACCTTGAATGGTGCAGCTCATTCTGGCTCCTGTAGCTGCTGCTCCATTTACACTGAACTGAATATTTAAACACAGATCGGCAAAAAGAAGCAGAAGAAACTTCAGTTTGTTAGACTCTTCGTCTATTTTGGAGCCTTTTGGTGGAGTTTAAATGTCTAAACCTCTGCAGTGAGTGAGGTGATGAACAGTAAAGCAGAACATTTGCAGAGCAGAATGAGATAAAACCCCAACAAATGAATTAGCCGCTAAACGCTAAAGTAGGACTGAGGGAAGCAGACTGGTTCACTCACTAATGTTCCTGAGGAGCTGTGGAAGTCTTAGCAAACACAGGTTAACTCAGCCTCATGCTAACCAGAGCCATGTGAGAGACACTGCGCAGCACAGGACCCAGTTAGCGAGTTGGCCTGTTTCCCTCCTGTGGTTAGAACACAAAACCTATCAGTTTCAGGATGTGTGAATGAAATAAACAACATTTCTGCATCAGCACATTTTTACTCACGAAATCTGATTAAATCAGCACAAACTGGTGCAGCAAACAAGACTTTAGCGCTGTGGGAAACGTGCAGAGCTAATTAGCGCTTAGCCAGACATCACAGCCGCAGTGCAAACAGGAGTGACGAGGGAATTTTCCACAGAAAATACAGGAGACTAAATAGAGACTAAAACATAGAGAGGCGGGTTTCTGGAAATAAATATCTATTTTATGAGGAAGTTTTCCATGACTTTGTATTTATTAAGAGATTATTATGAAATTTAGTCTCACAATTATATACTCAATATATACAACCTCAGAATTATAATTTAGCCTCTCATAATAATGATTATGTCATGATTATGACTGGGTATCATATAATTATGGGTTAGTATATCATAATAGTGACTTATTTTCCTATAATTATGACAAAGTCTCATAATTATGAATAATAAATCATAATTTCTTAGTATTATGATTTACTGTATAACTATATGTGTCTCCAGTGTCATAAATGGGCTTCTATTCTTCATTTTTCATCTATTCTTAGTTTTATTTTAAAAATAGTCACAGTTTTACAGAATCTCTTTAAACGGCCTGTTGTTTTTTTATGTAAAGGAGCTCTGTTCTGATTGGCTGATCTCATTCATAAAGCAACACAGACTGAAACACTCCTGATAACGGAATGGGTGGGGCTAACCTGCTATAGGCTGAGTTGGTGGATGTATGTAAATGAGGCTCATTTGTATATAATATGGGCTTTGAACGGAAACACTAATTAAGTTATTTAGCATCATTAGCATCTTTATCGCATGACGCTACGGAGCTGAGAGGGTGAAGGCTAACATGAGTTTACGTTAACCGCTAATTCTCACAAACTCCAGGTGGGCTCTGTGTGTGTGAGTGTGTGTGTGTGTGTGTGTGTGTGTGTGAGTGTGTGTGAGTGTGTGTGTGTGTGTGAGTGTGTGTGTGAGAGTGTGTGTGTGTGTGTGTGTGTGTGTGTGTGTGTGTGAGTGTGTGTGTGTGTGTGTGTTTGTGTGAGTGTGTGTGTGTGAGTGTGTGTGTGTGTGTGTGAGTGTGTGTGACTGTGTGTGTGTGTTTGTGTGTGTGTGTGTGTGTGTGTGAGTGTGTGTGTGTGTGTGAGTGTGTGTGTTTGTGTTTGTGTGTGTGAGTGTGTGTGTGTGTGTGAGAGAGAGTGTGTGTGTGTGTGTGTGTGAGTGAGTGTGT